TTTTTTTTTTTTTTTTTTTTTTAACCAGGCATCTTTAATTATAGGAAAACTTAAAATTAAGATTGAAATTAATTAAGAATTACGATTAGAAATAAGTTAAACCCCAGTATTAACTTTTTTGGTCCTAACTAGGAAAAATCTGCTTGGACTTAGTTTGAAAGTATCTGTAATGTCTAAGATAATTTGACATATTAGAATATCTAATAGATTAGCTATGTGATTCCATTAGAAAATGTGTAGTGAAACAATCAGATTAGATTTAGGACTTAGGTTTTTCTTATGTATTTTTCTCTGTTTGTAAAGAAGTTTGCTAATATAATCAGAATGTCAAATGATTAAGTTAAATCCTTCAGCTGACCAAGTGTGATACACACACCTGTGTCCCCGACTACTTGGGAGGCTGAGGTGGAAAGATCACTTGAGCCCTCAAATTTGAGACCAGTCTGGGCAACATAGTGAGACCTTGTTTCTAAATAAATAAACAAACAGGGGCTGGGGATTTAGCTCAGCGGCAAAGCGCCTTCCTGGCAAGTGCAAGGTCGTGGGTTCGATTCCTGGTACTGTAAGAAAAACAAAACAAACAAACAAAAAGACAATAAATAAATAAACAAATAAATCCTTTCTGGGATATTTGAGATTTGATGAAAACCTGAAAATTTTTTCTATATTTTATCACAAGTAAAATTTGGAGGGAATGGTGTTTTCCAGCAATGGATTACCTTGTTGGACAATTTCAAATAAATAATGTTTAAAATTTGGGGCTGGGGATTTAGCTCAGCGGCAAAAGCGCCTGCCTGGCAAGCGCAAGGTCGTGAGTTCGGTTCCCAGTACTGGAGAAAAACCAAAAAAAAAAAAAAAAAAAAAATGTTGGGGGTCTTTTGAGTAACCACCCCAATTGGCAGAATTCTTATTTCATGTTGGGACAAGTAAAATTAAACTTTTGTTTCTTTCTATCATCAAAAACTCAGGTGAATGTCACATAAGGGAAAGTAAATGTGCATGAAAGTCTTTAAATGGCTGGATTCGTGGTGTCTGACTGCATGAAATCAGGAGAAACCCAACCTGGTATGTCCACAGGGCTCTTCTGGGAGGAAAAGATTTCGGTCTTGCTCTGGCCTGGCTAATGACAGACTGGCAGGCTATTCTTTGGGCGGCCCCAGGCAAGCCATTACTCTGTTAAGTTAGATTTTTAATTTAAAGTTGAAAAATATTTGACACTTGCACATTTCACAAAACAACGGTCCTGGAACCTTTACGATATCCCAACAGCCATCATATTTTTATGCTCAATTTATTTTAAATTATTTATAATTCAATTTAAATTATTTAGAGGAGTTGAATTAAGATATAAAAGATCCTTTAAAAAGATCATTATATTTTACTAGATTTTTTATTTTGTTGGTTTTTTTTTGAGATATGGTCACACTTTATAGTCCAAGGTGGCCTTGAACTCACTATGGAGCCCATGCTGGCCCTGAACTCCAGGCAGTCCTCCTGCCTCAACCTTCCTAGTGCTGGAATTACAGGTGTGCCACTATGTCTAGTCATGATTTTGTTATTTTTATAAATGATTTACTTATTATTTTTTTGTCTTTTTGAGACAGGTTTTCACTATGCACTTTAGGCTGGCCTTAAACTCACTTTGTAGCCCAGGCTGGCCTTGAACTTGCAGCAATCCTTCTGCCTCAGCCTCCCGAGTGCTGGGATTACAGGAATGTGCCACCACGCCCAGCCTATGTATTTATTTTTAAAACCAAAGCAGTTTTAATAGGTTTTTCTATGCATAGAACCTCCCTCAAGGACACCACAAACCCTGACTGACATGCCCGGTCACCTCTTGCCCCACATTTTTCTGCCAGTACCTCCATCTGTGAAGTGCCCGCTGTCTCCAGTGAGCACCTTACTCACCACGGCTGAGGGCCACACTCACAGTGCCCCCTTGTGAGGGAGAGAAGCTGTCCCTCGGGGTGAGCTCTGGGTGTGTGGCCTGGCTAGCAGAAGTAGGCTGGATTCAGCCCTTCTCAGCCAAAGACTAGCTATCCCTGAGGAGGGCCAACCTGCACAACTGAATGTGGTATCCTGTGCCAGCTGCAGATCTTCTTAAGACAGCATAAGACAAAGCCACATCTACTTCCCAGCCAACAGTTTTGACAGCAGTGACCTCTCAGAAGTGATAAAGACTGGCTGGATTTATCTTGACTTCTGTGTAGCTTATGGCCTGAGAGGTCTTAGGGAATTACTCAACATAAACCTCAGTTTCCCCACCTGTAAAATGGGGACAGTGATATCAGTATAAGGGGCACCGTTATCATTACAGTATATGTGCTGCTGAAGCAAACACAACATCAGAGACTGTTATGACAGGAGATCTAAGGATCTTCTTGTTAGGCATGAAGTCCTCATTCTTGGCATTTGTGCAGTGCTCAGGTATACCATACAAATATCACTGTAGCAACTGCAATAATGGTTTACTTCCTTTGGCCCTCACCTAGCCTAGAGAAAGCAGCCCTCCTGCAGCCCCTTCTCCTTGCCTTGTCCC